TCTAGGGTCACTCCAAGAAGCGCTTGACAGCCGAGGGATATGGAAATAGTGACATCAGGAGCAAGGTCAACTATTGCCAAAACAAGAGGTGAATTGTGAAAGAACTCATTTGGCAAGCTACTTTTCCAATGTTGCAATGATAAGTTGATCCACTTAGCTAGCTAAATTGTTGTGATAAAAGAAGCAAAAGTAGGGCTGCTCTCTTACACTTGGAGGGGACACCGAATTATGGTTCTTGAAATTAAAATCCAACAAATCGGAATCTCATGGGAAGATTTCAAAGCTCACTGCAATCTGCATTTCAAATCAACTACGTGCCGAAAAACTGGGTGAGTTGGTCAAATTATATCAAACAGCACTATGGAGTAGTACCAAAGAATTTTGAGTAGTTCGTTATGCAAGCTTTCCCTTCATCTCAAAAATGAAATTGAAATTTTTATCAGCAAATTGCAAGAACATGGCTGTGGAGGTAGAACTACATTGCTCTATCTGGCTCACTACAACAATGTGTTTGCATGACTTTATGATATAGAGGAGATACATTGCATCTGGAGCAGAATACAACTAGTCAGGTTGGTTCCTCGTTACCTGCTAAGTCACAATTTACTAGGAGATTCAATTGTGTAGAGATGGAGAAAAGAGAACAATAAAGATAGACTTTATCTGCAATGCACCCTATGTATTGAGGCAAAATTGCAAGAAATTATTCCACTTAGAACTAGCAAAGGGACCACAGGGTGATGTTGATAAAAAACTTTTTGAGCTACAAAATCTATATTCATGCCACTACAAGGGCACCTACTACCCAAACAATGAAAGTCAAAGCCTCAATGAAGTGTATACCCTTACTAGTTCTTATTGAAAACCATTGTTTTTGTGGATAAAGCATTTGTCTCCAAATTATCAAGCATTGAAGAATATTGAGAAAATTCCAGGTTTTAGTTACAAATGGAGAGAGAAACCAACCCAAGGGTGTGCTGTCAAGTTCCTCTAATATTAGGAAACTATCACTTCCATCTAGACCTATTTATAAAGTGGATTTTAAGCTGTTTTAGCGACCACTTGGTTGTGAACAGTAGATCCAATAAACTGGCACTTCTCATAATTATGGCTATCCCTCCTGCAGGATGACCTTTTGATTAATTTGCAAGGTACCCAAACTCACAAGTTATCCTAATTAACAATCACTTCTGTGGAGACGATAAGGCATCTGAGCTTCAAAGAATTGTTGCTGACTTTGGATCCATTTGAATCTCCCGCTAGGTTGTGCCAGCTCACAAACATGTTCACAGAATCAACCTAGAAGAAGGGATTGAACCAATTGTGGCACAGCCATATTGTTAACAAACCTAAAAAGAATGAATTTAAGAGATAATGCATTGAAATGCTTCAACAAGGTTTTATTTGATAATCCAATCTCCTTTTTCTTCTTCAATATGCTTGGTAAAAGCAAATGGTTCTTGGAGGACTTGAGTCCACTATAGAGCTCTAAAGAACAAAAGCTATAATGGAAAAGTTTCCCAGACCTGTCACCTTTTAATTTCTTGATGAGCTCTATGAAGCTTTCTTTTCACTACATTTCATATTATCATCATATATGAATACACCCTAGCAATGTTAAGGACACCACCATTC